TTCTTCTCCATGTGTTAGTAATCTGATCCCAGATTGCTCAGGTTATCGTGCCGAGGATTTTCCTCTCAAATCATTTTTCTAGAGTGCTGGTTATTGTTCAGTTTTCACAGCCCATAAATTGGAACTGGCTTTATCATAACATTGAACACCCTTAGTTTGAGATTTCTTGAGATTTTTCGGGATATCAATACTTTTGAGAGTTAGAAGAAAGCCCTAGTTATAATTTTGCGCTAGTTATAAGCTCGTCTATTTCTGTCCGTTGGTCATTCATTGAGGTTATTGTGGAGCCGAGGTATTTGAATTTTACTGCACCCGGGAATGATTTTGCTTCTACGCAAATCCTGTCATTGGGGTGGAATTTTCGGCTTATTATCATGTATTTTGTTTTGTCTTCATTTACTTATTGGCCGATCTGCTCTGCCTCTCTTAAAAAAGTTAGGTAGCACTTAATACTATTTGATAAGAAAAACTTTTAGAGTTAAAAAAAAAAATAAAAAAAAATAAATAAATATGATGTGTGCTGAAGGCCACACGGTAGAAGTGAAAACATCAACAATGAGAAATTAATAGTCTGAAATATAAATATTCATTTGTGTTCTATATTCACAAAGTAATAACATTTTGGGTTCCGTATTCATAAATTAATAACATTTACAATAAATAGGTATGCGGTTCTATTGTATCCCAGTATTTTTCAATTATTTTTGTTACATTTTTCAATTTAATATTGGTAAATAAATTGTCATCAAAACAGATCAAACAGTATTTACCTATTTTCTATTTTATTTATTCTTTTAAACATTTGCTTCACCTCCTGTGGATATTTTACATCATAGTTATTATCTGATTTTAGTTTAATAAAGGAGTGCAGTATTTAGTAGTATTTAGTTAACGTATTCAGTTTTTCCTTTGATATTAATGATGATCGGACTAAGTGAAGAGCCAGTTTTATGTAACTTTACCAATCCATGCATTCTAGATGAATTTTAGTTAGGGTTAATTAGTTTAATAAGACATTTTTAAATACAATAACAAAGTTCTATTACATAACACATAGACATAAAAGCAAGACCAATCTAAAAATGTCCTTAATGATTAATAATTTACTTATTTAAACAAGTGATACTTCCTAGTCTATGTTGTATCCAACGACTGTTTAATATTTATGAGGAAGTCTCCAGTTGGAAGGTTATGTAATGTTATATTATTATTTATTTTCCATTATTTCTAAGGTTTTCTACTACTATTATCATTTATATTATTTCTATTCTTTTTTTTATATATATTGTTAATAATGTTGTCAAAATAAATTTCAATGTTGTAATAATATTAGCTTTTGTATTACATGTTAGCATAAACTCGTTATCATTCCGTTTTGGATCCTTTCTGAACACGGTGTCCCGTTAAGATACAATTTTGAATAGCCTATTGCAGAGAGGATGAAATACTGAACAATTTCCTCGCTTACAGTACGCAGGCCCGATTTTTAGTTTCTGAGATATTTTAATTCATATGTAAAAACATTTCATAATTGGTAAATAGTTGACTGTCGTGAATAATGAAGAGAAGAGTAGTTGGAGTGATTAGTGATATAAGAAGGCAAAAATAAATGATACTATTTATTTTGACATTAGCCGACGTTTCGACCTGAAGTTCAGGCCATCATCAGGGCTGAGAAAAGAACCAGATAACAAGGTATGAGAAACATAAGTAGTGTAGGTAAAAAAAAAATTAAAGTAAAATTCAGTTGTTAGAATGATGACAATAGTAAGAACTAAGAGATAAATGATAATAAGCGGTACAAAATAGAAAATTGCAACATCTCAATAGGCTTTATAAGATTTCAATTTTCTATCTAACTATTCTATTCACAATATCTTAATTTTACGGTTTATTTCTATTTCTTATATAACTTCATATTTTACTGTTTTTAAATTTTATTCTATTCTATATTATTTTAATACTTATGTCACCTTTTTTGATTATGTTTACTTCATCATTCCACACTTTGTACCGCTTATTATCATTTATCTCTTAGTTCTTACTATTGTCATCATTCTAACAACTGAATTTTACTTTAATTTTTTTACCTACACTACTTATGTTTCTCATACCTTGTTATCTGGTTCTTTTCTCAGCCTGAACTTCAGGTCGAAACGTCGGCTAATGTCATAATAAATAGTATTATTTATTTTTGCCTTCTTATTTGACTGATCACCCCAACTATTCTTCTCTTCAGTAAAAACATTTCAATTAGTCGACTCTAGCCGACTTTACTTCGACTAACACTTCGAAAATCTGACGGATCAATCTAATTCACTCTCCACAAAAAAGTGCAAATCGCGCTTAAAGAATTTTTAACTTCAATAAAAAAATATTTTTGTTATTAGGACTATAAGCTTTATTCAAGACATTTTGACAACTCTGATCACAATTATTTAATTTACTTTTATAAATTTATTTTAATTGTATTTGACTTAAACGAAATTCTTTCATCAAATTATTTTAAATTTTATAGCACTCCCATTACTCCCTTTAGTTGGTACCATAAGGCGTTGCAATAAGATATAGGGGACATACAATCCGATATTAAAAGAGCTTCTCGCCTAGACATGAAGACAATTAAGAATAGTTTAAAAAATAAATATTTTAATAGGCCAAATTGGAAATTTTTAACTTCCTTTATAATTGTTTTTCCAATTTTTTTTTTATTTCTTAAAGACATTTACAACTACAACTGTATTAAATAAATACTTCTAGTAAATTAGAACATAATGTATATAATGACATGAAAAACACTTGCTGAGTAACTACCCAATGGTAGCACTCTAATGATATGACTACATTAGGAGATCACGGGGCCATCTTCTTTTCAGACGCCTCGGAGGGTTATCAGGAATTGAAGAGGAAGCAAGGTTAGAAACAAGAGGGTTGGGATGATTCTGAAGTTTATTATGGAAGGATAGGTATCTGGATTGGGCCAGATCTGAAACAAAAGCAACATTAAGGTCATTATGGATGGTTTTATTTGTAACAAAGTAGGGAGCATTGAGGATTTTACGAAGGATTTTGGATTGTAAGGATTGGATACGAGAGGAATTCGATGGTTTAGTGGAGCCCCATAGCTCAACTCCGTAAGTCCAAATAGGCCTTATTATAGTCAAGTATATGAGTCTTTTGTAATTGATTGGAAGTTTAGAGCATTTGTCTAGTAAGTGCTGAAGTAATCGGAAACGTCGAGCGGTTTCTTGTCGTTTCAGTCTAGTATGAGGATTCCAAGTTATTCGTTTGTCCAGGTGGAGTCCTAGGTATCGGATTTGCTCAACAGAGATAAGTGGAGTATTGTTAAAGGAAACTGTAGGACAGGAAGTTGTTGGTTTACGACGAAGGGTAAAGGTAATTTGGTGGGATTTATTGGAGTTTATTTTCCAACTTTAACTTCCTTATAAATTTTTAAATAATTGTTTCTTCATTATAACTTTCTCATGTTGACTTTCCAGAGAACACTTTTTTTCATAACTTTTACTGTACAAACACTAAATATTCCACCTATATTTTTATCTTTCCTGTATACACGCATTATAAATTACTCAGTATAAACTTTGTTTCCGATTTTTATTGCCAGGATCTACTGAGCATAATTGATTTTATTAAATAATATAGTTATAAGACATATTGTTGATAGTCAATAATACCTGGCTTAAGCGTAGTTTATAGTGAATAATTTATGTTGTACGTCAACAGGAAACAAAAATATAAATGGAATATTTGATGTCTAAATAGTAAAGGTTTTGAAGATTTGGGAAATTATTCCTCGAAACCGAAGTTAAAAAGTTCATACTTGGCTCATCGAAAATTGAATTTCGAAATCGAACACAAACAAAAATAAAATGTATAAAACATATTCTTAAATTACAAGAAATAGTATATTTTTGAGATGCCTAATAAATAAAACTTCATCCTATTTTTTCATTTAATATCTAATTTAATTCATGTCAATATTTAATATTAATTTAATTCTAATTAATATTTTTCGTATACGAAGTTTGAGTCGGTTTTCACCACTCTGAGTAAAACTATTAAAGCTAGTTTACTGTTATACGTTTGAATAGGAATATATTCATCATAATGCATCGCTGATAATTTTAATGGAATGGTGTTATTCTATTTTTTATGCGCAGGTCCTATTAGAATATTTTTTGTTTTTCAATTTTGTTAAGAATGAAATCATCACCATTAAAATTTTTAAAAGAGATTAAAAAAAAACAATTGTAGCAAAAAAAAAAATGTTCCAATTGAGCTCACTCTTTAAAGTTATAGACTTTATTGGCGATTGATTACAATATAAATAAAATATATAAACTTATCTAATTAATTTCTCTGAATATTATTTTCGCTTATTTTAGAAATATTGCATACGGTTAGGTAATGGATGACCTTCCATATAATGAAGCATCTACGACAAAATCATTGAGGAAGCTTTAAGTAGTTTTATTTATATCCTAAATATAAAAGTTGAAAAAACTAAAGATACAGCCTGGTCAAAGAATAAAAAACCTAACAAATCAAAAAATATGTGTTTTTTAGCAAAAAAAAATATATAATGAAAAAAAGAAGGAAAAATTAATTATTTTGTTAATGCCGCAAGCTGATATAATGTTGGAAGCCTTGGAAACATAAATCTCAAGGGTTATCATCAGTTTTAGGTAACTTAAATATATATGTATATTTATAGGTAATTTATATTCATTATGTTATGGAGAGAAATGTGGTTTTCACCATCGTTTCTAAACTTATTACAATTGTTCCATGTTTATGTGTTAGATTAGGAACATATTTATCATACTAGATCACTATTAATTTTGCTTTGAAATGTTTTTCTTTTCAAGTTATAATGGGCTGTGAGAGATAACGACATTTTATCAGGATTCGTCAATACATGATAAGACCAATCGATATAAGTGCTTGTTCCAAATTGCTGGTTTCACTTCGTTCCGAGGATCATGTTCTCAGTGTTGTTCCTTTTCGGGTTAGTTTCGACTGCCCTGAGCTTTCCGGGACCAGTCGGAGTGACGGAAGGACTTCCGGAGCTGCAAGTCGAAGAATTTTTCGATAAAGTTGCAGTAACAGTCTTTTCGAAACTTAGTAAATCTACAGACCTACCCGAAGTCAATTGGGGGATTGATAGCATCTATGGAATACCCTTCAAGCTCAGAATTCAGACGAAGCAAGGTAAACTGGAGAGTCCCACGGAGGTGAAGAGGATAACAAGAGTGTCCGGTGTCCAAGAAGCGTCCGGAACCGCGCATGTAGAAGGTTACCTCTACCTTGGCAAGCTGCAAGTGACCTACGAAACGTTCACCGTGAACATCTTCGGCCTGGAGCTCACAGGCAAAGCGATGGCCAACATCAACGAGGTTACGACCCCCGTGAACATACACATTTACAAGAACTCAGTTAAACCTCAATCGACGACCGCGACGATTGGAGAACTCAACGGGTACGTCACAGTCCACCTCGGCTCAGATACCGGCTACCAAGCAGTCCTCAATTATATCTTAGATGCCGTCTTCATACTCAGGTATGTACACGATGCCTTCCGCTGGGCTTTTTTCCAAAGCATTGTGCCAATTATCGAACAAGCTCTAAGTGAAGCAGCAACAACTATTACTCTGTAAGATCTAAAACTCCACTTTCAGGAAGAGAGTTATCATTTACGAAAGATAATATTTTTTAAAAATATTTCAATGTGAATCGCTGATTTTATTGTCATTGAATGCGTGTAACTTTTTTAAGCAGTAATATTTATAAAATAAATTATTTTTAACTGATTTGATGTTATATATTTTTTTAATCACCATATTGATAAAAATTATTTTATGTAAACTATTTTTAATTTCACTTACATATATATATATAATATGTAGTAAGAAAAAGTATTGCGATCGTGAAAATTTTCGAATATGAGTTTTTAATGGAAATACACGTTTTGAGGTTCAAATAACCAAGTACCACAAAATGGTATATGTATAAGTATGTCTGTGTGTCTGCGTGTGAGTGTGTTAATAATCTAGCTCAAAAAGGAAAAGTCCTAAGAAACTGATAATGCGTATTTAAGATAGGTACATGGCTGAGATGTTACAGCAACTTTTTCAAGGAAATCGGCTTACCGGAAGTGGTACTTTATATCTTCGGTGTTGAACATTTTTATCATTTTCTAAAAAACAGCTCCAAAGATTTTAATTAAACCCGGTATATCACTGTATTATTAAGTGGTCTTTAAGATCAGATACATCTCATTCACATCGATGGCACCTTACAGGGCACCGACGTAATGTTTAATATGTCTTATGTCTTCCTCTAAAGTACTTTAATTTGGTTTATTAAAAAAAAAACTCTCTTATCATAATTAAAAATAAAAAATGGCTGAATATAAATTTTGAAAGTATTTATAAATTGGCTAAAAGGGAAAAAAGGAAAAATTTGTTTTTAGGTTGAAAATGAATTTCCAGAATGTATACGTACAATCTCTCGTTGGGAAGCTGAGAAATTTAAGAACAACATCTACATACAAAGTCCTGAAAGGTACCGGACAAAAAATTATATGTATCCATGACAAAGAAACCATATGTATCCAAGGAAATGAAATGAAATTTCCTAACTAAATGTAAACATTTAAAATTATTTTTAATGGTATAAAATCCACCGATTCAAGGCAATGACATTGTTTAAAAAAAAACTATTTCATTGTACTCGTGCGAAAGAATAATTGAAATATAAAGATTTTTCATGGATGAGTAAAACGCATGTTTATAACCTTAAATACATTTACTGTGGTTTAATAACTCTAGATTCGATAATATATTTAAACAATTAGGTATACATTTTCGATTTAGTTTTTAAAAAAATGTCTTTGTGATACACATCATATACACTTACAATCATTGTTACGACTTTTGACCACTAGAAATATCACTGAAATTAATAATAAAAAATGTTGAAATTGGAGTTAGTCATACTGTCAACTGAAAGTCTCATTTCATAAATTTAAATAATTAAGAAATTTGAAGAATTTTTCCTTGATTATATTTAAAAAAATTGTGCCTTTCTTGTAACTACAATATATTTAATATTTAAAAGGTTTTGTGTCATTTCAAATTACTTACAGTGCTTTTGAATAGACAAATAAAGACGAAATTCACAAAAACATATTTGAATTGAAAGCTAACCTATACCAAAAATTTACTTATTGATTTTTGTCGTAAACCATACATTGAAAATGTACATAGTGATTTTTGCAATACACTTACGATACGTAAACTATTAAAAACAGCAGATGACATCCATGACTTGGTTATACTTTGTTTTACTTTTATTTTTATTTTTGTTTAGGGGAGGAATTAATCCCTCTCCGATATTTTTATTAAAAGATAAAGCGGATATATATTTCAGTAGGTGAGTGTGGGGGGTTAACCCCCCCTCCTCGAATTATTTTTCAAAGATAAAATGGCAATATGTTTGAGTAGGTGGGTGATACTTTTTATACATAATTTAATAACAATTTTTTATTACTAAACTTTCTTTTAAATATTAAATAATTAGGAAACAATAACAGAACCAATTTGAAGCATGAAACGTTTTAATGTCTGGGAACAAAATAAAAATTACAAAAACGATTTTTTTTTTTATGCTAAAATCAAGGCAATTAAAGTAATAGGAAATTCATTATTATTCATTTCCACAAAAATGGAAGATTACCTCTTTAGAAAACTCATTCTTTAGTGGTAGCAGGATCTTAACTGATATAATATTGACTCAATATAATTGACCCGTGTGAGGAACCCCTTCAATATATTGCCTTCTATTATATTGCTTCAATAATATTGGCTCAATAATAAAAAGATTATTATTTGTAATAATAATTCATTAACATGGAGATCTAACGAAACGACAGTCAAAAGAGAGAGTGATTTTTCATGATTAAGGTAAGTAACAATAAAGTTATTGTTAGTACTACTAATTAAATAATATTATGAAAAACTGATGATCAGGAAAATTATTAAGTCGGATTCGAAATTGTTTTCAAATCCTCATACATATATTATATCTGTGCACCTGTGTATATGTGGCACCTGTGCAAACATCATATTTATAGAAAAACGCAATCGAATGTTTGAAGTTTTCACAGGTGCAAGTTAAATTTTCGAGTTTCAACCCATAATTCACAAAGGAATGTTCATCTCTGTAATAGCCGTATAACTTAGGGCATTAGACACAAAGAAATAGAGAAAAATTGGCTCTCTCGTGATAGTCATAAAAACTCACAAAATTGCACACTAGGAGCCATAGATATATGTTCCTAAATACCCAATCCTATTTAATGGCTTTCATCTTTATTATTTGCTTTAATATTTTTTTAAATGTCACTTTAGGATCATATAAAAACTCTATATATTTTAAGATTTTTTTTTTGTTTATAAATGTTTTGGGCTCTTCAACCACCTGGATGATTTTCGCCCTATATTACAATTGGATCAACTACTACATATGCATACATAACAAAACTACAGTTAACAAATACAATTTAAAGTTAACAAAGTTAATGAATAGTTACAGACGAATATGATACTTGAATTGAATTAAAGTTATAAAAATTGAAAGTTAAAGGTTAATGATTTTAAGAAAAAAAGCTGAAAATACGTTTTTAAAAAATAAAAGTTAATATTAATAGAAGAGAAGTTAAAGAGTACGGTTTAAATATTAAAAAGTACAAGAAGAAAAGTTGACAAAAATCATTAAAGTTAAATATTAAATATTAAAAGAAGATAAGTAAACAAAGGCATTTAAATAAAAGGTTAATGATTTCAAGAATAATTCGGAATAATTTCATTAAAGTAATTGTATTATTAATCACTTTTTCTATTGACATTGTTGTATTAGGTATCAACTTCATTTAATATTACGGTATTTTTAGTTTCTATTATTTAACGATTAAAAGGTTATTTATAAAAATGGGGATGTATGTTAAATAAGAAATTGGAATAGAACAAATAAAAATTTTAATTTGTACTTGACTGCCAGTCCTTAAAAAATTTCTTACTATTACTGACCTAAATTTGTAAGGTTTTTATTCATGAGAGATATTTTATATTAAATTTTTAGAATAGCTAATTAAGTAGAATCAGAATAATTTTCTCTAAAGAAATAAAGATGAATTAGAGACATTAAGCTTATTACATCTAACAGCGAGTATTTTTTTTTTTTTTTCAGTAAAATAAATTTGTTTTTAATATAATATAAAATAAAAACATTAATAAAAAGAAATAGAATAAATTTTAGTAAAGTAAAACTAATTAACACGATGGACACATTCTAATTCTGAACATTTTTTTTTAATTTTTAATTGTTTTGAGTTGACTCATTTCTCAAGAAATGTTACGAAAATCATTTTATAGCATTGTTTATTTAATTTTTATCGCAAACTTCTTCACAAGATACGAGAATATCGAACCATTTTTTAGAGATATCTTTCAAATTAATATCGGCAGTTTATTACAAAAAATCATTAAGTGACATTTCATAACATTGCATAATTAAGAACTATGTTGAATTCTCTCTTTGTGTTATTAGAAAATTGTGGACTTGCTATAACTTTATTTGATTTTATTTTGATATTATATAACTTTATATAAATGGTTTTCTTGCTATTATTTTCATGCACAAAAATATATTTGAAAGTTAACCCTTACCAAAAATTTATTTATTGACTTTTTGCAATAAACCATCGTTTTGTACTAAAAATACCGTGTAGCAATTTTAGAAGAGCTAAATGTCACACACACACTGTGACACAAATGACACAATCATTTACGTTGAATGCTCTAACTAATGATTGTGTCACTTAGTGCTCTGTTTATCTAAAATTGTGTAATTTGATTTTTAAATTAATTTAAACATCTTAATTTGATGTTTAAAGAAATTTAAACATCGTTCATTAAGATTTTGATCAGAATAATATTATATAATAAATTAATTAACTTAAAAAGTGCAGAAAAAAAACTAAATTAAAACGAATAATCATTGGAAATTGAAAAACACATGAGGAGGACGTACAAATCAGTTGCGGGTGTAATATTTTTTACTTTTATCACCTGAAGAACAAAATGATCCTAAACATAAATTTTTAACACAATTAAAGATATTGCAGCTATAAAAAAAATCGCATGAAACGTATTGAAATTCATTTTTTAAAAGTTATAGTCCTAATTTTCAATTTATACTCGAAAACATTTTAACTAAATAATTAATTTTCTTTAGGACTTACTATCCAAAAGCAATTAATTACGCCTTACATGAAATTAATAAGTTTATTTATAGTATTTTTCTTCGACAAACATTTCTTTTTTTCTTCAAAATTTAGAATCTACAACTAGTGTTGTCCACATGCCAGACCAAGTCTTGGTCTTGCAAACTCAGTCTTGGTCTTGCGCAAGAATCTCGCAACAGTGTTACACTCGCAACAGATATTACTGTAATTTGTTAGATAGGAGAAACCTAACTAAGCCCGAATGAAAAATTAGAGGAGTTAAATGCTAAAGAATATTGGTTATACCAATTATCAACATGTAGTAAATAAAATTGTCAAGTATTAGTAACTATTTTGCCGTAATTTTTATGAAAACAATTTGCCTAGTAAAAGATTTTTAATGTATGTCCACCAT